GTCTGAAATCAAATACAACTAAGGTTATCTGCCTCTCTCAAACTTTTCCTTCGTTCCCTATGTAACATATGCTTTGAGTTACATGCTTCACCTAAAGCTGAAGGCCTGATATTTCTATTATACCACTGTCATGTGAAACTCTATTCAAAGAAGAATATGCATTATCCCGCCACATCCATGCTGTCTTTGTTGCTAAAAAAAAGTGGGAATCATTCAATGGATACTTTCAGAACTTATCCTATGAACAACCAACTAAATTGAAGTTTACCAAAGGCAAGCATCTGGACAGCATACTATAAAGAGAAACAACAATTACGCCTAAGTACTGGATATTAAGCACCAATTGATACTAAGAAACAAACAAAAACAAACCAGATTTAGACGCAAGAAAATCTACATCTATCAGCAAGTTAACCATATGAATCAAGAATTTCATTTGTAGAACAAAAAAATTAACCTGACTATACGCAACTCTATCAATAGCAGATCCAAACCAACCATAAGCACAAAACTTAAGAACACCCAAAAACAAGCACAACCCACAAAACACCAAAAACATCCAATGGCCCAACTTCCTCCTTCCTTTCAATTCCAATCCAAACCCAAAATCCACACTCAACGATTCCAACTTTTTCCTCAAATGCACCCTTTGAATAACATTACTCAAATGGGTTTGCTTCTTTTCGACTAAAATCTCATACCCATCAGCAACAAGATTCGAATTTGTTGTTTCAGATCTGGGTGAGTTGAGTACATCAATCTCATGATGAGTATTCAAAGTAGTACCCCCAGTACTGCTGCTAGTACTAGTTGTATTTTGCGTAGTTTGATTAGTATTATTGCGTTTGAAAGAGTGAGCTCTACGAGTCATTGGACCCGAAAATCGTGGGCTGTTGACCCGCTGTGGAACGCCATCTGTGGCGGTGCTGTGGTGGTGGCTATGGTGGTTATTATGGTGATGCCCCATTTTCTTTTTCTTTTTTCCAAAANATATATATATATATATATATATCAACAGTATGAATACATTAGCTGTAGTGATATTTTATGTAGATATGTATAGAGGAGCAGAGATGATTGGCATTAATGGAGAGAAAGTGGAGAAATAGAAGGCAACTTTCCTACTAGTAAAAAAGAGGGGAGAGTACAATCTTTTTCTTTTCACAGGTTTTAAATTCTTTCACCAATGAAAGAGGATTTGTTTAGCAGAGCCGCCATTTTCAACTACTTTTGAGGTACTTACAGAACGCGGATGAATCACTGGTCAAAGAAAAAATAGAATATACATCATCCCTCACTCGTTTTCTTAGACCATTTGTTTGTTTGTTTTTTCAATTAAGAGGATATAAGAAAAAATTTCCTTTTTCCAAAATATTTTACTTTTTTTTGAATCACCGTCAATTTTCACTTGAAGATGTATTTTAAAAAATTTAAAACACTTTAAAATACTATTTTTCAAAATTTTTACTCAAATCACTCACAAAACTTCAAAAACAACCCAAAATTTATTCATATCCAAACACAACTCTGTGGTCTTTTGGACATAAGAATTGTAAAATTTCAAAATAGGGTGAAAAAGAATTTAAGTGAAAATGGTATTTGAATTTTAGAGTTGTATTTGGACATGAATATAATTTTGGGATGTTTTTGAAGTTTTGTGAGTAATTTTAGTGAAAAAATTTTGAAAAACAGTTTTTTGGAGTTTTTCAAATTTTCGAAAATTTCCATAATGCATCTTCAAGTGAAAATTGAAAATTTTATGAACAAACGCTGATTTCGGAAAAAAAAAGTAAAAAGTTTTTGAAAAAAAGGAAAAAAATTTCTTATGTCCAAACGGGCTCTAAATTTCAAATACCATTTTCTCTTGGAAAAATATTTCATCCTATTTTGGAATTTTACAATTCTTATGTCCAAACGCCCACTAAGTTATTTAAATTCAAGTATATATAAGTATTGATAATTAATTTTTTAAAATTTCAAATATTACGAAATTATTGCTGTAGCTTGTTTGTTTTCGCACCCCCTAATTGTGTATGATTTATTTTTTCTCATAAATTAATAAAATATAAAATTTAAATATTGTATCGATAAAGTATTACTCATGAATATTCTTAATTTTATATGATGTTGTAAGAATATGTTTATTAGAATCTAGCGACCGTGGTAGTAAGGCAATGACGTTCTAATATTATTATGGCTACTAGAGATTACTAATAGTGGTGGTTGTGGGCATTGATTAGTGATAGAGACTGTGAATAGGTAGTTGATGGCGGTGGATGGTGGCAATGTATTGGCTAGTTCATATTAAGTTGTCGCATAATAGAGCGGTACGTGGAGCCGAAGACAGACGAAAAGCGAGCTAGGTGGAAATCAAGTCCGGAGACAGCAATCTCGATTGTCCCCGAAAGAAATGTTACTTGTAAAGATAAATAAATGCCTACCACACTGTATCATTCAATGGAGAATATTCTATAGCATTAAGTACATAATCCGTTACAGAGAATATGAAATTCATAGTCGGTCGTTATACATTCTTCAGTGGTCCCCACAATTGTCATTTAAGAGAGGCTTGATATTATGACCTTGTTCCCTAGGTGCAGCTATAAATAGTGAGTTCAACATACATTAGGGAGAGAGGAATTTTCGTACAAACTTATATTATATACTGCGAAGCTTCATGATCAACTTTTTAATCTCTTTCTCAATGAACCGGACAGCGAATTTCTTCCGATGTTCAAAAGCTCAATAACATTTTATTTCTTGCTTATTAATATTGTTGTCACTACCTTCGGAAGCTCTGTTCCTGGAACCAACATATATGTTGTCTTATCTCAATTTCAACGCTAAGACTTGTATTCTTATTTAATTTATTTATCATTGTGGGATTAAATCGATTCGCTTGTCTATAAACCACGTATAAATTTAAATGTACTGTTTTACGGGTAAACCGACCGCCGTGGTGATAGTTAAACATAGTAATGATAAACCTCATATTAGTTGGATTGTTTAAGTGAATGAGGTCATGTAATTCCTATATCCCACGTAAGAATGAATTAGACCTATCCGAGCAAAATAAGTAAGTGTAAAATAAGAAATGCATTTAATGGCCTAAAAATTGAACAATTCATGTTTAGACCCTCGTTAGATGAAAAACAAACAAGATTATTTTTGGTACGAAGCAAAATATTTTTTCGAAAAATATTTTTTAATTTTTCATATGTTGGTTGACTTAAATGTTTTGAAAAATATTTTTCTCATGAACTCATTTTTCTCCAATTGGAGAAAAATATTTTCTCTATCAAGAGAAGAGAAAACATTTTCTAAAACTCTTCTCAACCTTCCCCACCCTTTTCTCATCCCTACCAACTCATCCTCACCGTCACCCTAAATAAAAATATTATTAATAGTATTTTCTTTTCATGTTATCGATAGATTTTTTTTTTCAATAAAATGAGTAGTATTTTCTTTTCATGATGTAGAATTTTTTTTATTTTTTTTTCAATAAATGAGTACTTTATTTTCATGATGTAAAAAATATTTTCTTTCATTTCAACAGAAAAAGTATTTTCTTTTCATGATATAAAAAAAAGAATATTTTTTCATTTCAACAAAATAAGTATTTTCTTTTCATGATGTAGAAAAAGTATTTTCTTTTATTTCAATAAAATGAGTACTTTATTTTATGTTATAGTAAAAGTACTTCCTTTTTCAATCAAAAAAAGAGTATTTTCTTTTTAGTTATGGAGCACAAATTTCGATGTTATCTTTTTAGTTCATTTGGGTTTAAGTGAATNAAACATGGAGACTTAGGGGAAGGGGGGTGATGAGAGTAGCAAAAAAAAAAATCCTACTCTCTAACCAAATACTAGAAAATATTTTCCGGAAAAGGTTTTCCACTCACCAACCAAAAAATAAGTGATAAAACCACTCATTTCTCATGTAAAATATTTTCCTTCCTACCAAACACACCCTAAAATCTCTAATTTTCATTCACACCTCAACCAAGAATTCCAATACTTGACAACGCAAACAACATTAATAAGATAAGATGTCGTCGTGGCCATTGAAACTTGGTATATTTAGTCAAATAGAGATGGATAAAAATATTTTATCTTCAAAAGGGAATGAAAGCGATTGTTTTACTATTGATACTCTTGGAACTTTTCTCAACATTTGGAGAAAGTTCTTGCCTCTCACGAATCTTGCCTGTATAGCACATTCTTGCTATAAAAATGATGACTCCCTAGCATCTCGTTTGTGACAATTGTATGACGTTTAAGGCTATATTTCCCTCACTTCTTATATAAAGTTAAGTACTAAATAGTTAATAAATTAGAAGTACTTCTATTTTCAAATAACGTCACTACTAAAAAACATCTGATTTGCAACCGAAAGAATCAGTCGCAAATTTTCGACTGATTCAGTCGGAATTTTCAAAAATAACATTTGTTATATTATTTTTAATTTTTTCGACTATTTTTCGGACAACATTGGTCGCAACGTCTCGCGCAAAAATCCGGGATAAATTATTGCGATGGATTCAGTCGGAAACTAAAAGTCAAACAATTTTATTTGACCATTTGCGTCCGTTCCGGTCAAATATTTTTAAACTTTGGTCAAATTATTTTTTTAAAATTGCGACTGACACGATTGCTAGTTTTGCGACGGAATCAGTCGCAGATTAGTTTTAGAAACCTAGCCCCACCCCAATTTTTTTCTTCTTCTCTTTTCATTCTTTCTTTTCGCTTCTAGACCCCCTAGCCCCCACAAGAAAGTCCAAACATTTTGGCGGGCCATTCACAAATCACAACAAATTTTAAATTAGCAATCCTTACCAAATCCCTAACTTTCCCTCCAATCAGTCGATTCATTCTCATTTCACTTTCTTCTCCCATTTTCTAGGGTTAATGCTTCTATCTTTGCTTCATTTCAGGTTCCTAATTTCTAACTCTCATTTTTTTTTTTGATTTTGTCTATGTGTGTTTCTGAGTGTGTGTGTGTGTGTTTGTTCTTTCTTTTTTTTCTCTATTTTGTTTCTGATTTTTCTTTTAGGTGCGCGCTCTGCTGTTTGCTTGACTTCTGGGTTTCAGCTATATATTTTTCCTTGTTTTTCTGTAGGTAGGAACAACATTCAAGTTGTTTTTGAAGGTTATCTGTATCAAGTCAATTATCAGAAGAATTTGTCCATAGCTTCTGTAAGAATTTTTCAGTCACTTCTTTGAAAAAATCAAATTCCTTTTAGTTTCATATATATGTTACCGCTTCATGTGAATTTTGATTGCATTTGGTAAGGATATATGCTTTTGATGATATTTTTCATGTGTTGATTGAAAAAGCTTTCACGTATTTTAAAAAAATAGCTTCTTACAATAAATAATTGAAGTCAGTTTAGCCTTTTAGACTTTAGAGTGGACTATATTTTCCTTGTAGAAAATATTTTACAGTATTCAAATTTTAAGGGTAATGAAGTATCGAAAAATCACTTCTTAGAGTAACAATTCTTTTTCATACCAAATATCTCAAAAAGTATGAACATCTTCCTATTTTCATAAATTTTTTCTGATGAGTTATTGTGCTCAATTCTGGAGACTAAGAGCTGAGTTAACGATATACTTGATTGAATATGTGCATTATCCAATATCAAGGAGATAAATTGTACAAATGATCATTTTTGCATATATTAATTTGTGGAGGGCTTTTCTTTCGTTTTGTTCTGCCTCTGTTTGTTTCATTATAGTTAAAATCTGAAATTATTCTACAAGATAATGTCTCATATGTGAATGAGTCCAGGAAGTTCTAGAAATTTTCTTAATAAAAGAGTCTCAGCAACTAGCACTAGTTATTTTTCTGAGTTGTTGAGTTTTGTTTTGTATCTTTAATACAAAAATGGTGTTTCTCTATTGAGAAAGTATGTATTGGACTATTAGGGAAAATATTACTCATCATCCTGCTTGGTTGAGAGTTGAACCTTTACGTGGGTAACATATGGTGGTCTGATTTCTAAATATAAGTTGTATTAGTAGGAAAATGGAGAAAAAGAGGGCTGGCACTTTACATTTATGTTAGGACAAGTTCAGGTGTTCTCTTCCTTATTTACTTGACATCAATATTTTTCCATCGTTATGCCTCTTAAACCATTTAACAGTACTGATTTGTGCTAATTGTGGAGTCGTTGACCTAATGGTACACTAGCTTCTTTTATCAGGTAGAAGACATGTTTTGCCCGTAAAAGTATTGATCTCATTTAGCTTCTCTGAAAAATCACTGAATTTTACATGATTAACTCATAGGAACAAATAAAACTCAACTAGCATTGTTGGACTTGTCATCTCTAGTTAGCATCTCCTATGCAATCAATAAAGACTTAACACTATTTTTATTCTCATTTTGTTAGGTTCTCTCATCAACATTTCTCTTCTTGCTTTTGAAGTTCGAGAGCTAAGATTTGGTGCAAATAAATTAAGCTAAACATTAGGTGAACAATTACCAACTGTCTTTCTCCTTCTTTCTGACTTAAAGATTGTAGAATTCCATTAGTTATTAGACGCTCTGAAAGTATAGCTCATTACATCATGTTGCTAGGAAAGGTGGTAAAAAGCCTAATTGGATACGTGAAGATGTCTGGAATCAGCTCTTGGCGAAGTGGAACACCCCTGAGTGGAAAAAGAAAAGTGAACAAGCAAAGTTAAACAGAGCTTCTACTAAGGGTGGAGCATTGCATACTGGAGGTTCTATTAGTTTTGAAGCCCATCGTTGGAGAATTGTAATTTCATTATAAAATATTCTTATTTTTACAAGTATGCAAATTGAACACATATGTGTGTGTGTGTGTATTTCTAATTAATTTTTAATTTTCAGGAAAAGGAACGTGGGGGAGATATGACTTATGCTGAGATCTTTGCAGAGACCCACAAGAAGAAGAAGAAGGATGGCACAAGAGAAGGATGGATCGAACCGCGTGCTTTAGAGACATTTGTATAATCCAAAAACCAACATTATATTATTTTTCCTTCTTGGTTTATTTTATTTATATAACGTGTATTATTTTTATTTCAGGACAAGTATCATATTGATCTTGATGCATGGCAACAAACTCAACCTGAAGGAACTCAGCCGACCCTGGAGGATATGACTGCAATTTGGACACAAACGGCTGGTGGCGTGAATAAAGGTATAAATATTATGTAATTATCTATTTTGATATTAATTTGAAAGTTGCTTGTTTGTTTTCTTACTTCATTTACTTTCTTTTCTATATTTCTCGTGAAAATAATAAAATAAAGGTCGAGTCTACGGGATTAGAGTACAGCCATCCTCTAGTCGTCCATCAACAGCATTATTCACCGGGGCATCAGTTTCCCAAGAATACATGGAATCTATGCGTCAAAAAGTGGATCAAATGTCACAAGAACTTCAAGAAACTCAGACTTTGATCCAAAAATTGTTAAAAAGAAAAGCAAGAAAAGAGCTGCAATAGAGTTTGAATCTGAGTCTGAGGAGGAGATTGAATCTGAATAAGCTATTTGAATGTTTAGAGTTGAAGTTAGAGACATGTTTAATTTATGTTGTTTGATAGTTCGTTGTTTCATTAGTTGGTTGAATTGTTATAAATATTATTGTTCGCTTTGCGGTAAATATTCAATTTTGGATTATTATATTGGGTTTTTGGTTAATTGTTAGGTGTTTGATTGGCTATTTTATTTGGCAGGTGGGTAATTAGAAATACAGTAGGATTTTGCCTAAAAATGCCACGATTTGCGACTGAACCCAACACAAATGTCACCAGGAATTATCCAGATTTGCGACTAATTCAGTCGCAAATTGAAAATTTCTAACAATATTTAATTATTTTTGGCGACTGAATCAGTCGCAAATGGAGAATTTTCGATATTTTTAATTAATTAATATTCAATATTTACAACTGTTTCACTCAGAATAATTAATTAAAACTTAATTTTATTTTTAATTTTTCAACGGAATCAATCAAAACTTTTTATTTATATTTATTTTTTAACTCTGGTCAGTGATTGAATCAATCGCTAAAACTGCGACCGATTCGGTCGCAAATTGCTTAATTTCAAATGTCCCCACATTTTTAGTTTGCAATTGAATCCGTCGCAATTTTTCGACTGCTTCAGTCGCAAATATATTGCGACCACGTGTTTTCTAACTGATACTTTTCAGTCGCAAATCGGTTGAAAAAATATGATTTTCGATTGATTTGCGACTGATTTGACGGTCACAAATTTGCTGTTTTTTGTAGTGCGTTGACCTCCCCCTTTAACTTTTATATATTTTATAACTGCATATTTTTTTCTACTATTAATAAGTGTGAATGAGAGCTGCCTCCGATTACAAAATAAATTGCATCTGGTACAAATCAGGTCAAAGGGGTTATTACGGTAATTTTAGCAAAATAAAATGATTCTATTTTTTTGGTCGAAAGAAAATTTTTATTTCAACCAGTTTTCAATTTACATCACCTGTACTTTGGACTCTAGTAACAACTCTCATGACTGAAACCAATAAACAGAAAAACCTATACAACCAAAGCTGCTTAATAAGATCCCATAACACTCATGAATCTTTTTCCTATCCTACTTGCTATGAAATACAATTAGGATAACTATTTAGTGTACTCAATATAGGTGTCTATTTACATTTCTTTTGTCATGTTATGTGCACTTGCATGGCAATGTCTTTTGTTTTATCTTTGACCTCTCTGCTCTAGTTTTGAAATCTTCTTTCATTCCGTTCTATCCAGATATGATAAACTACTGCTGCAAACACCACTCCTAGCAAAGTCTTCCTTGGACTCCTATTGTTTACATTGGTAGTTAGCCACTACACCTCAGCTTCCTAGTTTTCAATCTTCCTTTGGTACCATAGTCATCCTAGCATTCCTTTCCATAAGCTCTGTGAATATGGACAATCGAAATACAAGTGATCATGTGTCTTTTGTATGTCTCCTCCACACAGTACACATGAATGAGCCACCTGAATTTCCCATTTTGCTAGTCTGTCAACTGTACCCAGCCTTCTTTATATTGCCATCCATAAAATAAATTGTTGCTTTGGTAGAATTCCAGTTAACATGACTAATGCTTTCCAGTGGACTTTGGGGTACCTTGGAGTAGCATGAAGATAAGCCTTCTTAATGCTGAATCTCTCATTCTGAGCAAAGGATTCAATAGTTGGTATGTCATTAGCCCACCATTCTTTTGCTGTAAATAGTTTCCTCACTAGCTAACTAGCCTGCTTTGGAACCTTCATATTATTTATGTCATTATGCTTTATGTAATGGCAATGAGTCCATCTAATCCAAAGCTTGTCTTGCTTAGCCATTATAGCCCAGAGGAGTTTAGTAAAAGCAGCTTTGTTCCATCTCTCATAGTTGATAATGTTTAGACCCCCAGCAGCTTTTGGTTTACACAATGTTTCCCATGCTATAGAAGCTCTGTGAGTGTTATATGAATGCCCGTCCACAAATAATTCTTGCATATACCATTAACAAGTTTAATAACCTTTTTTGGAAAAAGGAATACTTGAGCCCAGTATGTCTGAATTTCAAACAGGACACTCTTAATGAGTTGTAGTCTTCCGACATAGGACAAGAACTTTGATGTCTAGCTTGTATGGATCTGAATTTGATCGAACACGACTTACAGTGAGCACGACAAACGACCGAGCACCCACGAGTCGACGCCCAGAGGGATACGACCTTGTGGTAAAAGAAGGAACAATGCGGCCTCAGCAGTTGAGTAAGCCCATTAGGAGATATGGAGAATATTCCTTAAAAGATTTTTTGTATGTCGTTTTTACGATTGGAAGGAGTTCCTCAGTATATAAGAGGGTTGAGAGCTTTGTAACAGGTCATGAACACTTTGTAAAACTCACCAACCTTGAATGAAAAGAAAGTTTACAACTCTCTTCTCTCTATTGTTATCATCCTAGAGTTTATTATCTTCAGCTACGATTTATCCCTTCATCTTTGATTGATTTGTTCAAAAAAGATTTTAATATCTTTTCAGTCAAATAATTTGGTGCCGTCTGTGGGGTTTTCCATAGCTGAAATCATAGTTCTCATCTAGGTTCTTGAAAGCGACGATTACTATTCTTCAAACCTCATAAAAACCAACAATGGCGAAAAAGGAAGCGAGGCTGAAGGCGATAGTAGATGTCTCAAATAATCTCATGAACTCCCTCAACGAAGCTGGTAGAGAAGACACTGAGATACAACACCAAGAGTTACAGCGGAGGGGGAGATCTCACCTTTTCCACACGGGGATCTAACGATCTTCCGCGAAAGGGGAGCCTCAACGTCCACGGTGGGGGAAGCACCACCAGTAGTCAAAAAGCTGCTAGAAGAATGGTTGACAAGTGCTCAGAACAACATGCTCGAAAAACCTCCTCAAGGAGATGTCGAAGACTTGCCACCTACAGAAATCGCAGCTACCACCAATAAGCCGAGCGCTACGCGAACGGGTAACACCCACACTGTCACTGATGCAGGTGACGATGCACTCATGGCCATCTTAAAGAAAATGGAAAAGATGGAAAACGAGAACAAAACACTCCGTGATCAAATGAAGGAGCATCAGGAGACGGTTGACAAAATACCAGGCGCCCCTAAGCTATTACCAAAACGCGATGTGGGCCGATTCGTCGAACAACCATACAGCGACGGGGCTGCTCCTCATCTTATTCCAAACACCTTTAAGATGCCGCATAACTTGAAAATATACGACGGGACCACGGACCAGGAGGATTATCTAATCCATTATGTTACTGCGATAAAGGGCAACGATCTGTCAAAGGAACAGGTACCATCTGTGCTGCTAAAAAAGTTCGGTGAAACCTTGATAAAGGGAGCATTGACATGGTACTCCTAGCTACCAGCGTGATCGATATCAACGTTTGAAGAGATGGCGGATAAATTCACTACTGCTCATGCAGGGGCGAAGAAGGCTGAAGCTAGGGTCAATGATATCTTCGCCATCAGGCAAACGACGGGCGAGGGACTTTGGGATTTCCTGGCCCGATTCAACAGAGTAAGGATGAGCCTACCAAACGTGTTAGAAGGGATGGCAGTAGCAGCCTTTCAAAATGGGTTAAACAGGAACGGATCAAAGGCAACCAAAAAATTGCTCAGTAGACTCATGAAGTATCCCCCCCACCATATGGGAAGAGATCCACAATGCATATTTCGCTGAGGTAAGGGTAGATGAGGATGACCTGAATGGCCCGATTCAGAGATTAACGTCGATTCTGACCGAGGCAAGGAGAGATCGATGTAACGATGGGTGAAGAGATCAACCACCACGTTTCAATTGAGAAAGGCATCAGCCCTATGTCCAAACATCTAATCCGCCCCATCCAAGACATACGGATGTCGTGTTATGACACACTGCACCCCTTTGAAGCGAAAGAGGTATGCCTCCACTACTATCTGCTCATAACTTTTGTGTTTCCCCTTCAGAGATAGTGTACGCACTGAAGAAGCTGGGCACGAAGGTGCAGTGGCCATAAAAAATGAAATCGGACCCAAGCACCAGGAGGTCAAATGTCCTCTGTGAATTCCACCAAGAAAGAGGACACAAAACCGAAGATTGCATAGATCTGCAGCAGGAAGTAGTTAGGATGTTGAACCAGGGGTACCTGAAAGAACTGCTCAGCGATAAAGGAAGGGCCAACTTCGCTCGAGGACGCGATCCATCTCAAGGACCTCCAAAGTCACCATCAGCAGCGCGCACCATACAGATGATCATTGGCGATGTCGACGACACGGTAATCAGCCATGTGAAGTTCACCACCACGCACAAACTCAAACGGACGGTCGCCCACGAACGGTATGATGACCTCGAAGACAGTATCATCTTCGATAAGTCGGATGCCGATGGTTTGTCTTTCCCTCACTATGATGCTTTGGTTATAACTTTACGCATTGCTGATACAGATGTTAAAAAGAATCATGGTAGATGACGGAAGCGGCACGTGTATTGTTCACCCGCGAGTTCTCATGCAAATGAGGCTTGAGGATAAAATAATATCGCGTTGTATAACTGTCACGACCCGGATTTCCCACCCTCGGGAGTCGTGATGGTGCCTACTAATGGGAGCTAGGCAAGTCAAACCTTAACTACTTGCTATACTTTCATATTGCTTCTTTTTAACAAACACAAGGCAATAATATGATAAAAGCGAAATTTTAAATAACATAAGCGGAAGTCACAATTACATAACTTAAGGCTACGTTTATTATAGCTTTTAAAACCTCAGATACCCAAAACCCGGTGTCACAGTGTCACAGACAATCTAAGAGTTACTACAAACAAGGTCTGAAGAAATACATTACACTGTTTCTGAACAAAAGAAAATGAAACAGGAAATAGAGATAGAGGGAGACGCCAGGGCCTGCGGACGCCTGCAGGTCTACCTTGGGTCTCCGGGTGGACTGAAGGAAGCACTCCAACTACTGTCCGAATGTTGCTCCTGGATCTGCACACAGTGCAAAGTGTAGTATCAGCACAACCGACCCCATGT